TACACTGAGGTGTGGTATAGATACACTCAGGTGTGTGGTACAGGTACACTCAGGTGTGGTATAGCTACACTCAGGTGTGTGGTACAGGTACACTCCGATGTGTGGCACCAACCGTCGCAGTGGGAGCCAAGGGTTTGGTCAGTGGAGGCTCAGTTTGGGAGATGGTGGTCAGTGGGGGACTTGGGCGGCCAGTCAGGGCTGTGGTGTCTTGCAGGGGTGGGTACATGGCTATGCTTCTTGAAGGCCCAAAAGGCTGGTGGGCTTAAGAGGTTGGGGGGTCCACTGGGAAGCCCAGGCTACTTGAAGGGCTGGGAGCAAACCTTCCTAAGTCCCAGCCCTGCCCAGGCTGCCTACGCAGAGCGTGCAAAAACATAAGGATGCACTCCCTTGGACAGGCTGCAAGCACATGGATGCCTGCGCAGGGAGCCAAATGCAGCCGCAAGAGCTCTCAGTCGGCCACACGGGGGCAGTCACACCATGGAGGGACACCTGCCCTGGGTGCCTCATCCAGAGCATGACCCCGAGGACACAGCAGTATGGAATTAACAGAAGCAAGAGAGGAACCAGAGCAGGTGGGGCTTACAGCCTGAGGGCAACAACAACTGGGAAGTTGCGAGCAAAGATTGACTTGGGTAGCTTTTCATTTATTACTTTGCTCAAGCTGTGCCCCAGGTCCACTTAGACCCAGGTTTTTGGGATGGTGCAGGCCAGAGCACTTCAGTAAGGGAGGCTGGGCCAGCTGCCCCCCCAGCCCACAGTACCCATGTGCCCTGTTCCTCATCCTTCACCCCCACCCCCCCGTGCCTCATCCCTCATTCCGCAGTCCTCATTCCCTGTCCCCATCCCTGGGCCCCTGGTCACCTGCTCTCACGCACTCCCTCTCACCATTTGAATGGTGTGTTGTTGACCCAGCTCTTAATTTGACTTACGGGAAGATGAAGAACCTACTCAAGACACCTGGAGTTCGAATCCAGCTTTAACCCTTGGGTTCTTCATGAAGAAGATAATCCCAGAATAGTCAGGAAGGCCTCACTTGTGGTCATAGCTGTGGTCACCACTAAAGTCAACCTAGTCAGCTAGGAGGGCCACCTGTCTCAGTCCAGATGAGCCTGGTTGAGGAGGAGAGCAGGTGGGGGTCTGGGGGCAGAGAGAGGGCGGTCTCTGCTGGGTGGGCAGAGATGGAGGCTGTTACCCTCACAAGGGGAGGGGAGGGGAGGGGCTGCATGTGGAGCAGTGTCAGATGCG